TGTAATCTAGTGGTTTGCACGTTGTGGTGGGATGGAAGGAAGAGAGAGGTATAATTTCTTTACTTTCGCAATCATCTATGCGATAAACTTATGTGCAACCCTCCATTCTGGGTATTGCTACTTAGGATGCATGATTTCAATGGTGTTTCTTCTATCTCGAGGCGTTAGCTAGCCTCACATGCCTTCGACGAGAAATGAATCTCACAGGTCCGAGTCATATGTTGCACTGGCGGCCTCAACGCGGACTAGAGGTCTGACTCCATTTGCTGTGTACCGTGTGCTGACTAAGTCTGCAGGCATACAGGTCGAACGGTCAGTAAATCGGAGGACAGGCTGCGTGCACATAAAATGGCCATTCAACGGACAGACCTCGACTATTCTCGCGACCACTCGGGCTGGAACAAGAGTAGATTTTCAATTTTACTATCGAGTAAACTATTGGATTTGTTAGGAACAACAGAGGGATTGGGAGTTCGGTCAGCGATCAGACGAACATTAACTCTTTGTTAAGTAGAAGAGCTAGAGTGCACTGATCGTCGGCAGTGATCATAAGACAGATGACGGTGCTTGCCTTGTCTGTGTCAATCACTTCGGTTGCACATGAACCCCGATCGGCTTCGCACGACAATGCGTTCATTGATGCAGAAATGACTGGGTGCTGATAGGCTGAAAATAAGCGAACTTCTGAAGACCTCAATAGTGAGTGCCAAACTGCGCCCATGGTCGGAAAGTGTTCCTCACTATTTACTATCAAAATGGCCTTGGCGATGCCTTGGAGGTTTGGGGCATACGCCTGTGCTCGTGAGTTTGGAATACCGCATCCCAGGTAAGGGAAGTAATAACGGAACACCCAAGCGTGCAGCGGCGCAATTTCAAGAGGTTGTGGACTTCCCTACTTGGACTGTCTGCGACTTTAGGACCAAGCCAGATTTCCCGATCACAGGCAACGGCACTAACACGAGTGCATCGCCTGCCTACACGCTGCTCATTGATTAATCGACCAGTAGGACGGCCATTGTGCGTTTCTGGACAAAGTTAGTCGTTGCCCTTTTGTCAGGACTCCTTACGAACTACTGTCGCCCTCTGGCTCAACAGAGCCTGTCCTGCCAAATGTGTCTTCCTTATTTACGGTTTAGGAATTAATTCCTTTGGTAGGCAACAGCCGACGCACTGGCCGTCTGCGTACAGATAGAAGAGGCTGGCACGATTCCTCATTTTTTATCTTAGGACTCTCCCCTAGTTTTAATCTCCTAGTCAATTTGTGTATTAAAAGCGTTGCTTAGTAACTTGCAGCGAGCACAGGCTTCTGGGCGTACGGCGGTGTTCCGTGTTTTTTTGTTGGATAATCGCCATTAGGTCGAATTTTAGTTAAAGTCTGTACGTTTTAGATTAAGGCGGCAACGATAGGTTCTAGGGTCCACAACTAACTTGAGATAGTCTGTGGACTGTCATAAGTTGAGTGGTTGTGTGGGTGGGACAACACACAGGACGGAGAGCAGGAAGACACATAAAATACGGAGCTTTCTGCCGAAAGTCTTATCTTACGCTGTCATTTGACAAAGAAAATGAGCGCGATAATTAAAAAGCAACGTTCGCTCGCCGCGTTTTCTTCTGAATTAAAAAATAGACAAAAAAACAATTTAAAAAAGTAACGGTAAGTTTACATTTAGTCAGGAAGGGGAGGAAATTTTAAATAATGCGAAAGATGAATAATAAGTGATGTTTACAGTCACACTGAACTTAAGGGTAGATTTTTGTAGTTGCCATCTTCTTGTGGGTCCTACACCCTACTGTTACCGATTAGAGATGACAAATAATGAAAAGGCCCAAAAATTAAAGATAGGGTTCGGCAAGAATTTAGTGGTTATTTCTGACCTGGTTGCTGTTTCTAGGAAGCAACACCGGAGTTTTTTAAAATCTAATTCAAATTTAAATAGGCACTGGCATTCAAACATGAGCCGTTAGGTATGTTTACTCTCAATATATGTTGACATCTTTTAGCTGCTACTTGTGTTGAGGTAACTTTCTTTAACTTTCTGACATCTCGTAGCTCGAGATTCTTGCTACGGATTTTGACTTGTGCTGCCCAGAGGACCGACAGGATTTCTACTCTACGCCTTAGGCACTCAGGACGATGATAATTACTATAGCATAAGCTGTGTTCGCACGACTTCCTTAATTGGTCAACAAATTAGTAAAACTGAGAATCTCCGAAAAAACTTTTCGTTTATCAGTCTGTCTTCTTGATATTTTTTCTCATCTTGCATTCACCCAGTGAGAAACATATATTTGCCTCTGACGAGACAAACTTATCTTCGAGTGAGTTACTTATATCATTAACTGTCTTCCGTGCAGAACTAATGACTGTGGTTAAGAAAGGCATTTGGAAAAATTACGGCAAGCCACTGGCATATGAACTTCCCCGACTACAGGTGGCCTTGTGCTAAATTCTGGGGCTTAGGTAGTATTTCTTACCTCTGTGATTAATACTATATTATTACGTAACCCACAGCGGTTAAGTATTTTGTCAACCGGATTTTCCAAAATGTTGCAAAGTCGTACGATCCAATCAGGCGCAGCCTCCGCCTTGTCTCCTATCATATATCGGTTCGCCAAAAATAAATCAAATTTGCTCTTGTCTGTCTGCGTGTGGCCTTCACAGTCGTTTTGGCATTCTTATACTCTCTTGTTTTGCACCAAATGCTCTTGGTTGGAAATTTTGAGTATTCTAAAAGCTTGCCCTCTTCACCAGACTGATAAGACATGATATTTCAACCAAATTGCGGTCAAGCACTGGATTGAACGTTTTACTAGTACAGTCGCGGGTTCATAGAACCTTATGCTATGGCTCAAGCTTGGAACCCCAGCGGTTCGGCCGTAGCGGACGACGATGTCCACCACAGCGTGATGGGCGTAGAGTGGTGACTTTCTCAGCATCTACCTCACTCTACTCCCCACTCACTTGAGCCCAGTGATAAGAATTCACACAACCGGAGACCGGCTCGGGTGCAGTAGCCGAAAAAGCCAAACAGCCCACTTACGCGTGCCACACACCAGTTTCGGGCCACATCTGAATGAAAGTGTCAAGGAGGCACATTCACAAGGAGCCACGGAGCCTGGCTCTCCGTCCTGAGAGGACCGAGTTACCAAAAAAAGTTGACAGTCTTCAAAGTCAGGACTATCACGAATTGTCGTGATAGTTTGGAAGCACGTCAGAATTCTTATAGTAAGATATGCGCTGAAGTGCCATGGGAGTAGACTGCACATTGTCGACCTCGCTCTCTATTCCCTCTCCTCATACTACTCCACTGTCCGAACCAGTCATCCATCCGATGTTCAGATTGGGGGCAAGTGGCTGATGCGGTGTGCAGCCTGCGCCTAGGCGTACACCAGACCCCCTATGCGACATTCCTTATGGGATGCACGGACTCCGTGCAGCCTGGTGAATACGTATTATGCCACAACCTGAACCAGGTCTTGATCGACCGTCTCCACAGCGTATCCCGTTATGACGGCCAACGGGAACTCCAATGTGGAATTGAATGACCGAATTCCGTTCTGCAATGAGGCAAGATTGGTTGACGCGTCCTCTGCGTATGTACCACATCTCTTTCATCTTTGTAGAGCTTAGAACCCACAACCACAGGGAAAAATAAATGATTGTTTATGAAATTCGATGGCTTTCACTGTTGGACAGTTGTCAACTGCCAATCAGGCCGGAAAACAATAGACTTCCAGCGGAAGTATGTTCAGCAATGTTACATTGAGGCGTTGAGTTCGCATGCGCATTTTCTGTACTCTGTGGATCTGTTTTCTATAAACAGGTGGCTCCGTGGGCAACTTGTCACGGTTAGCACCCTCACATAAACAATTCCGTGAGAAAATAACCATTTTTTCAACAAACGATGTACCCGTATCTACTATTGTTTCTGATGACGGGTCAGAGCAGGAATCCCAAACTTCCGGCAAATAAAACGCTTGTCCTTGCTATTGGGCCTCCTTCTTCCCAATCGGTTTACTTGTTGTTGTCCTGATTACAACTACGACCCGATATAGCCTGTAAACTAACCGTATTTAATGGATCCCGCAGTGGCACGGAATCGATCAAATAAGAGCGAAATGGTTAAGACGTGAGGCACGGTACAGACGGTCTATCTACCAGATAACTTAAAGTAGTTCTCCCTAATCGATCGAATGACACCCGGCAGTTAGTAAATGCCATGTCTCCGATCCTATATCCCCCTACCATTGAGCGGATTTTGAAAAACCCTCGACAGACTTCGGCAGGCCTCCATTGCAACCTCAGTTAACACGGCGGAGTTCAAGTTTCCCCTCCATATGGGGGCGAAAAACCCTTTAAAACCTCGCCCACACAATAGCACAAGCGGAGTTTCCGTTACCCAGATCTGTTCAAACTATTCAGACAGGGAAAACTGTAGAGAATCATATGGCCACTGATTTGCTCTTAAACGTTCACCGAACCGGTTTGATGTTAAGATCACTTGTCAGGCTGCAATGATTGACGGCTTGCTACCCACTTTTGCTCAATTAAATGCCAGACAAAAGACGTCTACCCAGAGTCTCTGCCCCCAACACACCGAGAGATCTGGGTGGCGATCTGAAAAGGCATGTCGCAATCATCCGGGTATGATAGGACATGTAGGAGACAGAAGTCTATCACTTATAAGCATATACGAAGGTTCGTTTGTGCAAGGCAGAATTCAGGTTGGGGCAAAAATCCCCAGAGAATCCTACCGAGGGATATATGATCGGCTTGTTTTACAGCTGAGAGGACAACTGTGTTGAAGATCTAAGACCTGTTCCTCCTAAGAGACTCCAGGTACTAAAGCAAAGCTGAGAAAACTGAAAACACGCAGGAGACAAAACATATGTCTACTTGTCAGTTTATTTATTAATACAAAAGGCATCTTGCATGTTGAAACAAAGGCAAACAACTGCCAAAAATGGTTGATAAGATAGTCGCACGTCAAAGCAGCGGTTTAAGAATTTATGCCAGAATTACCACACTTCCAGAGAAGCACGGCGACCGGTCCATAGTGAAGGTGCACGTAGGTGCCCAATTCGGAAGTGACAAAACTAACAGAAGAGAAAAAGTATATGTGTTTACGGCTGGACTTTTAGTGCACGACTCTAAAAAATGACAGCAAATGCAAAATTCGAAAAAGCGTGAAGTTAAACTGGGGGTTGACTGGAAAATCCGTAACTCCGATTCCATTTGCTTAATGATTCAGAGAAGTAAAAACAGTAAATGAAAGAGGAAACGTGTGTGACGAAAAACAAACTGGCCCTTTTCTTCTCCTTATATCAGTGGGACATTTCTCATTGAAGATGAGTCAAATTAGTATCTGACAGTCGAACATTTAGCCTGCGATTCGTGATATTTGCACTTGCTCTTCTCGCCCGCATCCACGAATTGTTACTTTCTGGTTTACACACAGGCTTTAAGGTACTCAAACGTACCTTTTCCTTGTTATTTTTACGGTCAGCTCTCGTGTTACCTTCTTAGCGGATACTATCGCTCGACACCACTTTTAACGACTGCCATGTTCGCTGATCGAATACTTTATTCAGAGAGACTTGGGAATCGTCCTGGTCCATCAACAGCAAAGTGTATTGATCAACATCATCTTAGACCCATCGGGTTTGCTCTATAGATTAAGGACGTGGCAATGTCCCTTTCCCTTGGATGCGAGCATTTAGCTGTCAAAATAACTTGAGATCTGCAAGCTTCAGCGAACACTTCCCATTAGGCCTTTCGTGCTCTTACCTCAAAAACCTTGACTGTCCTTTTTAATTTTTTTCAAAAATTACTCATGACTATTATGGAGGATGTTTCCCTGAAATTTTAAATAGTATCAAATTAAAACCCTGTTTTCCTGTAAGTGGAAAAAACGAAGCTGTACCGACAACGTTAATACAGACTGCAAAATCCCAGACATGCCGTTTTTTCTAACAATCAAACCAGGCATAACCAAATAAGACATGCAATTACTTAATTGGTCTTCTAAGTCTACTTCCTTAGTCAGTTAATACGGGCTAATGAGATTGCTGTCTTTTTTTGGAGTTTTCTGTGTAAGTAGATCAAAATCGAAAGGAAAGATTCGCCCTTCATTACTAGCCAATCATGCAGTGCAACTTGCGCGATATTTTCAGAAATAATGAATAATGCATTTTATTATGGGACCTCGTATAGATTAAAAAATCTTTTGTTGCAAAATGGTGTCGAATTGCCAGTCCCTCAAATTCTCGTCGGCTGATCGAAATGCGAGTTATTTCATTCACGTGAATCACACAGGTTGATCGATATTCCCTTCTTCCGACTTCGATTAATTTGCCCAAATGGTCGGTGCGACTGTCATAACTGAGACATGGAGTCCGGTTCGGATTTATAGGGTCAGTAGTTTAAAAATGCGTTGTGCAGAGGGTGTTTTTATGCTGAGTGAGTTCCTTGTACCATAGGTTGTCTTCATAAGGCCACTTGGTAGCAGAAAATGCGGACTACATCAGATATCCGATGTATTGTTAAACACTTTCAGCACATATAAGGTGGCGGTCCCCCATTTTTCTCCAAGTATTTGCCCATCCACATTGGTAAACCACTGATGAAGCCTACTGTAAGCCAATAAGTTATCAGGTAGTGCGCATTCCCTCGGAAGATGACAACAGGCCAACGAAGAAGAAAATTGGTAAATTTAGCCCACTCCTTGTTATATTGCGATGGAAAATGCATTGCTTACACCACAGACACCCTCAATGACGCAATCTTACAAAAATGAGTTCAGTCAGGCTGGATGGCATTGTGAATGGACCATAAAAAACGACTGTAAACTCCTCATAAATTAAATGAAATGTATTAGACTACGTCCATATAACGAATAATTGCATAAAAATAGGTGCTCTGACAGTGTCACGCGCTCATGATCCATGGATCTTAAATTGTGTATTGCATAGAAACAGTCATTATGAGTAAGGGAATATGAGGCACAGGGAACAAGCTTAATACAAAACTTAAAGAAAACCAAACAGGTAGCACATGCAAGTACGTTCATTCGCAACCTTTATGTCACCACAGGCCTTGGGAATAACGACAGTTTTTACCGTCAGTTCCAGTGCGTTGCTCTAGAACATCGATTTTTTAGTCTGGAGCCCCTGTGGACAATCACATAGCACTGCTATTGATGACGTTAACAAATATCAAAACATTGTTTGTTAATCAAACTCTTCTGGATCTTAAAGTTATGAGCTTGCCGGATGTAGGGGGCTACCCTCCGCAAGAAATGAAATTGCGCACACTGTCCTCCTAAATTATGTGGAGATTGACATTATCAAACGTGGTCCTATTCACCGGCATTGTCAACCAGTCGGTGCTATTGTTGCTGTATGCTAGCCGTTTACTACCTTGCTCATGAGTTAGCAGTGCAATCATAGTCTGCGGGATGGACGTTATTTCGCTACAGACAGCAGCAGAGGCGAATATTTATCCCATGTTCTAAGTGCAACTCTTGTTGTCGCTAACAACCTCTAAGAGGTACGCTGGCGGTCTTCGCCACTAGCAGGCAGGGAACCCGACTGATGTGGAGCTTTGCCAGTGTATTCTAGATGTTCTCGACACTGTGTGTGAAAAAAACACTTCAAAGATCGATCGTATGGTCTACGTTTGCGGAAGAAATAAACGTGTTTAATCTGTGAATATTAAATCGAAATTCGATAAATGTGCATGAGTAGAAAACAACTTCTGTTGCAGGTCGGAAATTCCTCCTGTAAAGGTTTAAATATGACCTAGAATATACCTAAACTGAAAAAAGTACTGTGGTAAACTGAATTTGGCGTTTAAAACTATCTAAATGTCGGCCGTTTGTCAAGGAAAGGTAAGACTCAGGCAGTGAGAAAATCTCCAGTAGCAGCATACCTGTTCGTCATGAGTTCAAGTCAAGAGTTCACCGATTTTGCGTTCTCGCTTCTTCCCCTCGTGGTACGTATGCGATATTTTTTATCACAAATATGAAAATTAGTCAGAAAATACTGAGGCAACTGAGCGAGAATTATCTTAAAAATGAGAAATTAGATACAGACAGATCGTTTATGCTAAAAATTTAGGCTTTCAACGTCTGTTAACTATTTACTTACTATTTCCGCCTCCGCGTTTAACCTCATGCAGTCTCTGTTTCCAACGTAAACCTGTTCTCAATTATGCTCCCAAAGCGGCTGTTAATTCAGTTCACGTAATATTTTTTAGTAGCCAAAAGTATGTCGCTTATAGTTTTGTATATCGTTCTGTTTAAATTTAAGTTATTATTTACCAGACCCGTGTACAAAATTTCTCTCCAGAATGACCATGTCTTGGCCTGTGTCAACTGGTTATCTTTTTCGTACATTGCAGGTTTGAGACCTTTTCATGCAAACTGTGGAATGGGTTGTTGACAGTAGATTCGACCTTTGAATCGTTTTTTTCTGGGCAGAGAAGCATTTCAAATCATGGCAGCCTATATCTTTGTATTTCGGCACCTATTACAAAGGAGTCTTGTCCAACGGTCGTGTTGTCAACATTTCTGGCGGTCAGCTTCCAAAACCAACGAAATGGCTCAGGAAACGTTCAATAGTCATGTGTTACTCAGAAAAGCGTTTATCCACCCCAAATTACTCACACAAACTGAAGAGAAAATTGCAAATCTCCGTGCCAACAGCTAATAGTAATCTGCCCTTCACGTGCACGAGGTCTGTACTGACATCAAATGTTGTATAAAAGTAGTGCATAGAAGCAGACTAACCCAGCAAAGTGTTTGCCTACAGCGCAATGCCAGGCTGTGGAGTGGGCTCGGTCAAACTCCTGCTTGATATACTTGGCAGCCTCAGGTCCGACCTCATAGCGATCAAAAGCCTTCTTTATCAGGTCGATGGCTTCCTGCTCCATATATCTGTTCATACTGCTTGCCTGCACTTTGCACTCATACCGCGAGAAAGCAGATACACCTTGTGAAGGAGTATACTGTCGCTGAGACTGGCGGGAATAGCTGGAGTTGTAGGGCGATTCCCTGTACATTTCTCTCCGGAATAAGTTGTCTAGGGTTCTTCCGTCCTTTTAGAAAAATTGCGAACGACTAACCCAACTTTCCTACCGACCTGAAGGTCACGCTTGAAAGTGTTGTAGTGCAGAACCAAATTAGTTGATAATTGAATTTCTTTGTGTTTCCACCATTTACAAGACCCAGCCACTGGCACACGCGATCAGCTTTGATACCAAAGCCTGCGGGGCATTGGTTGGCAGCCCGCTCTCACACGTGAGTCCATTTCTGGGAGGGGGGTGGTTCCTGCAGCAGTACGTTTCTTGAATGTTGGCGTGTGCGTCGGTCTGTAGCAAAATTGCTTTGTGTATTGGAAAACCGTTGCATCCCCAGAAAACTAACCTCCATCGTCCTTCAATTAGAGAAAAAAACGTTGTAATTAGGGTAATTGCGTAGTCCTAAGTGCCAACGTGGAGTCACATCCTGAAAAAAACATACACCTGGTAGACGTTATTTTGGGGAGGAAGTGCGCAGGTGAGAAAAAACCTTGTATTGCCTCTTAGGAGTAAATGCGCGTGTCAATTCCCGGGAAATTTCTCTTTTACTGACTTGGGCTTAGTATGGTGATTGTGATGAGGGCTCATCTATTCTACTCAATTACGACCAGCATCATAAAGTTATGCTTGCAAGTCTAGTGAAGGACAGATGTTTGGAGAGTTGTTCAACGGTGGGAAACACAACAGGACAGCATTTAATGGGTTTTTAACATAAATTATCGTGAATCCACTTTAAGCCCTCCTTCCATATCTCGGCAAAAAGCTTCAACGATAATAAAACTTCAATGAGAGAAGGTACTGCTTCCGCAGTAGGCAAACGCTCGCATGTTCAGCTTTGCCAAGTCCTCCTAACTGCTAAGCTATTAAACGCATGCTGAGTGCTCCCATGAGTTTCTGTCAGTTTATGCTAGAGAAAGGTTATCATCTAAAACCTGCTCTGACAGTCAGCCGAATATATAAGAATTTGTGGATTCCAGGCGTCGCAGTAGGTTCGGTTGGTAACTCAACGCAGGATGTGGAAAACTTGAGTTTCTCAGAAAGCGCTTCGTAGCTTAGGTGGTTAGAACATCAGCTGCACTGAACCCGTGACTTTTCCGTCGCAGGTTTGGATTCCGCTGAGGTATTCACTTAGAAAAACTATACGTTTTTAAAGTTTACTAGAAAACTGCAGTTCACGCTCTTAATAATGGAGTCGGAGCATCAGTTGAAGTTCAACACACTGATTTACCTTGTCAGGCAATAGTGATCAAAAACGTTTGTTGCGCTAGGGCGTGCTCGCCAGGTTCATAGACTGGTTTTTTGGTCGATTTAGGGTCTCGTGACAGAAAGAAACCAAGAAATAGAAAAGTTTGCTTCGCAGGTAGTATTTATACGTACCCCTAGTCCGACGGGTTAAAGTGCAGTGTTAGCTTACTTCCAAGTGCGCTAACGCCCATGGAATTTCGGTTGCCCCAATAGGAAAGATCAGCACGTGTACCTACAGTTCCGTCTTAAGCTCTCAGGATCCCCTATATAAATTTTGAACAAGATAGACACCTGCCTGGGTCATACAGAAGACATCAGTTGGTTTCAATGAGGACTGCATTTAAAGTCTTTTCACAACACAGGAGCCGGAGTAAACATGTAGTGGTAGGGAAAAATTGTCTGATATGAAGATTGACCAAAGGAGTTAGCATTTTCATCTTATTCTTGTTGAACGTTAAACTTCAAACATGGGTGGGAATTTGCGCAGAACAGTTGGGTACGATGATAAAGCATAGATTTTGGAAGATGATGTCGAAATTCAAGGACAGTCGTCAAAACATAGGGTGCACGATATAGCCTTCTTAACAGCACAGGTACTAGCTAAAAACCCAGACCGCGTGTTTCGTCAATATTTGTTCTCTGCGTGACGCAGCTGAGAGGGCTTCGGCTCATCAGTGGGTCTCCCGGCGTTCCCCGTGAACTCTCTGGTAGATACTTCAGTATTAAAATTGCAGGTTTCTTATTTCCTCAGAAATTAGTCGCTTATTTGAAGTAAATCAGTTTATTTGAGGCTTAAAGGCTCAGACTTGGGTTTGATATGAATAGTTGGTCCGAGGTCCATCAGTCACAACGGAGTAACCGCGTAATATCTATAAACTGCCAGTAGGCAGTCAGTAGTACACGTATAGGCTGCACGACATACCATGTTTGGGGGGACCCACTGATGAGCCGAAACCCTCGCAGCTGTGCCGTGCGGTGGCGGAATATCGACGAAGCACGCGTGTCTGTGCTTTAAGCTAGCACCTGTGCTCCTAGGCATGGCGTATCGTGCAACCTATGCAGGTACTACTGGCTGCCTGTTGGTTGTTTACGAATATTATGCGGCTATTTTGCTGTGACTGATCAACACTGGCACAAATATTAAGATCAAATTTCAGTATAAGCCTGTAAGCCTCAAATAGACTGATTTGCTCCATGTTAACGACTAATTACTGAGGAAATCAAAAGTCAGCAATGGTCGTCGAATATGTAGCTTGGCGCGAGCGAACACCGACAAACATATCCGAAGCCAGTAACCTTTGTGGTGCTATTATTTGCGGTTTTCAAACAAACTCAATTTGGCAAAAAGTAATTCGCTTCGGGATGAATAACAAACTTGCCCCTCCCCATTAACATTACAAGCAAAATTTATCGTGTCTGGGAACTTGCTAATGGTCCAGATTGAAGAATTCCTCAGTCCTTAGTCCAGTTGAGACTAAAAGCAGGAATTCATGGACAGAAAGTACACGTAGTTAGGACGTCACAACATCGACACGCTGCTCTCCGACAAAACAAAAACGGTTCCGCGGTCTTCATTTGCTCGCATGAAACCCAGCCATTCCTACAACAGTAAGGATTAATGGTCGGATCTTATTTCGCGACCGTACCTGCAGTAGAAAAGCCCCAGCCTAACCCCAACCCCTAATCCTGACCCCTAAGCCCTAACCCTGATTCCGACCCCTAAACCCTAACAGGTACGGCCACGAAATTGGATCTTGCCGGATTAATTGTGCTCCGATGAGGCACGGTGGGTGTTGGGCCTTGGTCCGAAAATATTACTTTCTACCGCACTGTTTCTAGGCCGAACACTTTTCGGTAGGATAGAGAGTGGCTGTGAAAGTCAATGTTTACAGTGTGTAAACGTTGTGAGTAGAAATCGAGCTGCTTACAACGTACTGAAAAGCTTAACAGTGACATTCATGAGAATTTCAACATAAAAGGTCGCTGCCTAGGTATCCCCATGGATATGAAAGCGCTTAAACCGCAGCTTTCACAGATGCACAGGCTGATTCCATCGGTATGTAAGGACTCTGACTTCTAATTGCAAGGTTTTTAACCAATGACACCTTCAAGTTTAGATGGGTAGCAAAGTCTTCATAAAAATTGACAAAGTATGCCAAACAGCGTCCTAGGTTGACCTCTAATCTGCAGCTGGTGGTGCATGGTTCCAGTTGACATTCAAAGAAATAGGCGTATCAATTAATGTTACCGGACTCGACAAAGTATTCCATAAAGCACCCGAGCATAAATCAGAAAAAATTGCTTTTGCTTTCATTCTTCGGGAAAGCTATCTGATCGCTTAGCCTCATAAATTTTCTGATTATGCAATCACTTGCCATTCGGAGACCTAGCCCGTCCTAAAAACTCTGATTAATCGGAAAACTAGCACTCCTACTAGCTGACTAGCTCGCTAGAAAGTCCAGACAATTGTTTACACATCTCTCTGGGTACGAATTCGTGCTTTTGTCCGTATGGACCTGCTCTCTGGTCCCTAACATCGGCGAGGGTTTACATTCGACAACAATGCACGCGTTATCGCACTTGGAAGATTCCAAACCAGGAAGTTCATTTCAACGTTTTCCCGGCTGAACAATCCGGTTCATAGATATTATGATGACCTCCTAAGGGGCATCACATTCGTCAACCAATATCTTAGCTCCGTCAACAATTTGACGGATTAAGTATATTGTAGACCCGTTGACCGGGACTAATCAGAGTACATTTTGCACTTCGCCTGACATGACACAATCCGTAAATCCGTTTTTGTGAAATTTGGAAGTGCTGCATTTAGTTAAGGAATGACAGAGCGACTACTCATAACAGTCAGATCTAGTTGTCCAGTTGGTCATTTTATTGGAATTCTCTATGACAAGCAAGTGATCATGGCCACCTCTAGGTACCACGACACATGTGCAGGGTGCTTTATCCAATCCGTTCAAAGCGCTTTCAGCTGAGTTTTCTATCAATGTCCTGTCCGTTAAGCGCAAATTTGACCAACATTCCTCGTGGGAGCAATGACGCCGTGCGCCTAAATTGGATCGTATAAAGCAACTTTGGGCCCACCCCCTCTTCCCAGTCCAAGCACATTCCAACTTCAGGAGACGGTCTGGACGACTGGTGGCAGGTGTGAGTACAGTTGCTGACCTAGTCTGAAGTCTCTGTCTATGGGCATCAAAACGTAGTCTGTTCTATTAACATTTACTGATCCAAACAAGGCACGCAACTGTAGCTTTTTGGGGAACACTATTGCTAATTTTCACCTGATTTCGCGCATGAGGCGAAGCTGCTGCCGAGACGACCCCGGCGCCCACAGTGCAGTCTCATGGAGGCAAAGAAGAGAGCTGCTGGGCATCATCTGGGGCTCGAATGGAATAACAATCTCGTGCAACTAGGCATTTGTCGTCACTGTCATTTCTACAAAGTGGCTGCCCTCACTGGGTATACAATGCACTCCGTTCGTGGCATATAGACATACAAACGGCTAACCGAACTTCTGTGAATGGGGATGTTAAAAAAGGCAATACTGAAGAAAGTTATTTACGAACTGCTTAATTAGATGCGCCACATAGCAAACACGCTCACTCTCAAAAGGATGTAACCTTTCAACAACAGAGCACCCTCTATCTCCCCTAAGGTGCAGACTTGCAAATACTTTTTTCAATCACACACCACCACTATCCTCCTGAAGTCCTACCCTGTTGACTTGATACTGTGCTTCGTGACTGATTAAAGATGGTGACGAACGAGAGGACCAAATGAAGGATTGCTCACACTTTCTCGATAGTAAGTCTCCAATTGGCAGGGGACTGCATGGAAACGAATTTGTATGCATGCGGGGGTTAGAACTCCTCAAAACCAACAATGACTTCAGAAAGATCTCGTTTGAGATCTTGCCTCCCGAAGATTTCCCTTCTGAGACACGCCTGTGTAGCGTTTTGTTTGCCACAGTCAAATTGTTGGATGCTACCAAATACAGCAATCGTTCGAACATTTCGGTCTAAGTAAAATCGGAGGACACTTGTAGCACATTCAAATTACCTTTTTTTCCAAACCGTTTTGACCGCATTTGCAAAACGTGGGACAAACAGTGATCTACTCGAGTAAACCAAAAAACCAGAGAAGTAGAGCCCAAATGTACCAGTGAAGTAGGCATTTTCAAAAAATAGCGCTTTCTCAGCATATTCAGAGGCGCGTTTTGAGTCTGGCTACCGATGACTTTGCCTTCTTCATCCTCCTGTAGAAGGAAGTATTTTCTGGTCAGTCAGAACCTCTATTCGTCTAACATTTCGTCGAGTTTTAAACCCAAAGTGCGCCTTGAGTAGACAGAGTGGCACGTTAAAGAAGCGACGATCGAGACAGGTAATGCCACACTATATACTGCAATAGACACTTCACTGTTATGTTTTCGGAAGTGGACATGCTCTCTACAGTCTTGGAGGTCTGACAGGAACTCTCAAAGGCAACCATTTACATACAAACAATAAGAGTAGAATGAATACCGCCAAAGAAGTGGGAGATTGGAAAGACCACGTGCGACTCAGTAGCTTTCGACAGCTTGTTACACCTCAGTCAATAGTTCGAACCCCTACTCAAGGACCATCGAACATTAGACGAAATGTTCTAGCACCAAACCACGATAAGGATTCTCTCTGCAGTATTGCTTGTCACTAGGCAATCGCCTACGCGGGCTCTGTTTGGAGCCTTCAAGAGTAGGATGAGCATATCCCGTCCTGCAGCCAGATTGGTGAAGCGGAATTTTCGGGATAATCCATCTCTTTAATTTCAACCGACGAAACAACGATCTCATGACTCAATGACGGAAAGTGTTGAACATAGCTCAGAAAGTAGAAAGTTTGAATTCGAACCCCAGGCCATCCTCGCATGAGACTGAGGTTTGGCTGGTTGTCAACGGCCAAAAAGCCGGTAATGGCCATTTCAGTAGGCCTTCTCTTGGCCAAAGTTCACTGTAAGCCTCTACAGCTCATCATGAGAGAGTAAAAGGAGCCATGCGCGTGCACATGGTATATGGAACACAATCACATCTCGTTGATTTGCGAGTCCCCTATTATCGGTAAGATGTGGTTATGTAGCCCCACTTGATGGACACTACTGTTGTGATTGGAGTTCGGGTTGCGGGTTATGATTAGGGGTTAGGTTTAGAGGCAAGAGTTAGGGTAACTATTTCTCAACCACTCAAAGTACAACCGCGCATCTCCAAAAGTTTTTCTTTTGCATACAACTACTTGACCTCGCCGCCTGTGCGTTCCCCGGCCCCACCTGTAAAAACCTCTATTACCACCGGTCCCGTATTACAGGTGGTTGGGGTTTGTTTACTTCAGGCGATGCTACATAACTACATCTGACAACAGGGCCACCTTTTGTGTTTATTGGTGCCACTCCATCTCCTAAGTTCGTGATTGTTGTAAGAACAGTAGGTTCCTGCAGAAATTTCCCCCAACGTCAGTGACACATAAGTACTTTAAGCGTCGGATTTCCGTCATGCAGACAAGAAGGGCAGGTTCCAAGTCAAGGGGTCCGCTGAATTTGCTGAAACATGCTTTTGCCCAATTCGGTATTCACCAAGCCCCAGAAGTAGTTTAGCCGCCTGCAGTACGTCCGCTCGAGGTAGGTACAGTCATCATCTAGGACGGGCTAGGACTGTTAAGCCGGCGGTGGATCGATAGGTAGGTCTACATCTTCAGTACGTGTTAGCGTGTGCGCGAAATATGCGGCCTAATTATGGCTGCGCACACAATGACCCCGTTTCGACGATAGCGAATGTGTGTGGGGGAGGGTGTGTATATGGGCGCAGCAGCAAGCGCAGCACCCAATCGATGGCTGCGCAAGGCACCTACGCGCGTAAGAGGGGACGCTAGCCTTGGGCAA